TTTTTTATTATATTTTATTAATATTTATTACTTTTTATAAGTAAAAGTGACCATATTTTCATGCTCATAATTCATGTTTAACATTTTTAATATTTTTCACATCTATTTTTAGATTTTTCTACCTACTATTTTGTCTCTCCCCCTTTTTTCATTTGACTGAAATACTAATCACCACCAATGACCAGGTGGTTTTTTTCCTTAGATTTGTTTATATAAAAGGCTTTAGGATTAGAAATATATTACCATCAAATTTATGCAGATTTTATTTCTAAAACAGTTTTATTTATGTGTAAATGAGTCTGTTTGACTGTATTTATATTATGTGTGTCTAATCACCCACAAGAAATAGCAAAAGAACCCTTAAATTGGAAATTGGTGAGCTACCATGCATGGGCTACAAACTAAATTAAGATTCTCTTAAACTCAGAAACATCTCTTCAGCACTTTATCCAGAAAATTTACACAATAATCTCAGGATTTCAGAGTCTGTGGTGGAAGGATCATGCACTTAAGGTCAGTCTTGGCTATAGTGAGTTCCAGCCCAACTAGGATTAAAAGTATGACCCATTCTTAGAAATAAATAAATTAAATATTTAAAAATAATTGTATATTTTCCATCAGCGTTGTGGATGCACCTGAATCTACTCCTATTTTAGCTACCATCCACAATCCCATAGCCCTCAGTAAGCAGCCCACCTCTCAGGCCATGATGTAGTGGATTTCCCGGTCCCACCAGCACCAGTTGCTACCACTGCCACCAAATACAGTTTTTAATTAAACTCTCTACCTTCTTTTTATTAATAAAGATGCAGGGGTCAGATGTTGTGGTGAAGACCTGCTAGCGCAGAGAGTCAGAGAAGCAACCAGTTGACCTTCCTTTCTGGCTGAAGACCCAGCAAGAGAGGATCAGCCATCTAAAACAAAACAAAACAAAACAAAACAAAAAAAACTTCAAAACTCTAAGAATCTGCCTTCTCCTTCCTATATACCTCTCTATCCATCTTCCTGCCTCCTCCATACAGTCTATGACCAATTGCTGTCAACTAGTTGTTGATTCTGCCTACTGATCAAAGATTGATTTTATTAACACAGTCTCAGGATTCACATTGTGGTCAAATAACCTCCAACATTCCCTCCTTTTGTTTAATAAAAGGGAAGGTTTTAATTCTAACACATTAAAACTATATGCAAAAAGAACAATTATAAGGTATGAATTATATTCTCAAAGTCCAGTCTATTTGTATTGGCAAATTTGGAGACATTACACTATTATCTATTCTATTCTGGTGAGTCCAAAGTTTTATACTTAAACCACTGTGTATTATAACTTGCATTATCAACTGAAAATATCCTTTTAGAGCTTAAAACATTTTCTTGGATAAACAATTTAAGCTTTCATGTCTCTCAATCTTATAAACTTTACGTCCCCTTTGTAAGTTTATTTTCTAAATTTGATAACAAAGAAAATGTATAAGTATCTAGTCTTCAACCCCATCAGAGGCCTGAGAAGGATAAACTATTACCTGAGTAAATAGGAGTTGCAGAGCAATCAACTTCCAAAACTATAAAAATGACAGAGACAGCTGCCTGTCTGGACAGTCAGAAAAGTTTCCTCTGAAATACTGGAGCATACATATTTGGCTTAGAGGACATCTGATGAACTTCTCTATGAAGCAGAAATTTAGAAGGACTGACCTACCTTGTCTTGGCAAAGATAGTCAACTTCCTTTGTGTCACACTTGTGCAATTTGGACAGCATACTGTCATCTGTCAAGGCAAGTGCAGTGTTCTGCCCAGTGACTGGCTCTGCCACATTGAAAGCAAACTCAATATGGAGGTTCTTCAATGTCCATTATCTTATCTGAAGTAGATCAGTGCTGTCAGAAGCAGACATATGTCACTGTTATTAAAGTGTTATATTATTAAAATTTTAAATTTTAAATGCCATATTTGTAGATTTCTGGTGTTTAAAGACCATCTAACTATCTAGAACATATATTTAACCTTGAAAACATATCCAATACGACTGCAAATTCAATTGTTAGAGATAACCAATTACTAGCCTGCATTTCTTAATTTTTCTAAATATTTTGTAATAATAGCTTTCAAGGACTAGAACTTTACATTACATTTTTAAATGAGCTGCATAGGTACAATACCTTAAACACGAATAGAAACATATATACAATATGTTATAACAAAAATAACTTTAAATTTGTATCAATATACAAAAATCCATACCAATGTAAAATACTTGAGATTAGTAGTTGATTTTCAGTAGATTCAATAATCTACCCTTTTATCCTATCATTCCTATATCCTCACTCTTTTTTTACTAGATAGGAGAGAAAGAAGAACAGCAGAAAGAAAAAGAAAGAAATGCTTTAATCTGACATCCTTTGTTTAGCTTCATTCCTGACCATGATTAATAACAGCTTGGCTAAGCCCCCCTGAACAATGACAAACATCTATAACCCATCAAAAGACCAAAATACACCCACCCCACTCCTTGTGGGTGTCATGCTCTTAAAATTACTTCCTGCTGTCTGAAGGTGATGGCATCTTTAGGGTACCCTAAGAAAATTGAGATAATGCTGAACTCCTGGGAGAACTACGTGTATCACTTTTTGTCCAGTTTCTGTATGACGATAAAATGCAGAGCTTGTCTGCAGTCTTGGCTGGAGCAGTCTATGAGGCTGAATCATCTCAGCTACCAGTTTTAAAGTTGTCCTGGGCAGTTTGTAGTCTGAAACTGATAAACAGGTGGTATTTTTCAGCTTAATGGCATTACCAAAATGTAGGTGGATTTTCTGTTGCAGGGCTTCATCTTTTTCGGGGGGAAAGTTGCTGTTGGGAATGGTCACAGTTCACTGAAGAAAGTTGAAATATGTTGCATGTCATATATAGCAAATCTCCAAAAGGTTAGAGGACCACTATCTATTAAATACATCCAAGCTATGCAAGCTTAGTTCTTAATTACCTGCGTTTGATTCAAACCCCAAAACACACAGAAGAAGCTAGATGAAGCATAATTCTACAGTTAGTTAGCATGGTGTATGACTACTAATATCACAATAGAAAGTTTTATATATATAATAGATTTTGAGATAAATTTTATATCTTAAGAAAAATTTTAAAGAGTCAAAATGAAACCAAAGGGTTATGAGATGAGTGGAAATAAAATAGCCCATTAATATTATTTTTCTTCTGTCCAGTACCAGATGACTGTTCTGATATAAGACAGAGATTTTGGATTTTTCTTTAACAAGCATGTTTGGGGACAGAGAAGGAGAGAGCCATTCTCCAGTTCTAAAGACAGTTTTAATTTTTAATTGAATTGAGACCACAAAAAAGACCATTTGCCTTTTATCTTTATACAGAGCAGCAAAAATAAGCATTTGGGAGGATTTATGAGATTTTTTTCCTGTTGGAGGTAGACTAAATGATTAGGCCAATTTATTCTTTTTCTTAGATATTTTCTCTTGATGATTTGTCCTTCTTCAGATTTTTTCATTTGTCCAGTGATCTCATTATTCCTTTAGTTGGGTGCTTTTATTCTCCTCAAAAGACAAAAAGAAAACCATGTCCCAAACCTGATTTGGGGGAATTCCCTTTTCTTTCAAAAAAAAAAATAACTGATCTAAGGAGAAACATTTGTTAGTCTTGTAAATTAGTTTGAACTGGATGACCAACTTGTTAGATGAACTATCACCTCTCATTAATGAGGAGCTCTCCTGTTTGAATCTAATCTTTACCAATCTTAATGGTATCCATAGCTTCGTTTCTTCTGTAGAAGCAAGAGCAAAACCTCCTCCCCACATAACACATACTCTGGTTTCCATTCTAATATCAACAGATCTTTAAAGTACACAGGCTGATTTAATTCAAAAGCTTTGTCTAATATCCAGTGTCTCTCTGTGCCCATTGTTCCTATTTCATTAGCATTAAAAGTTTTAAAGTTAATAGATTACTACATAATCTATCTCTAGGGGCTTTATTACTCCTTTTCATTTATTAATCATGTCTTATAAAGTGTGATTAGACCATTCTATAATGGCTTGTCCCGGAGGATTGTGTGTTATAACTGTAATATTCTTTATGTCAAAATATACAAAAAAGCATTTCATTTTACTCGAGACATATGCTAGAACATTGTCTGTCTTAATTTGTAAAGGTATCTGTGGTGGTATTGTGTTCTCCAAAATATTGTGCATGCTAATAAACTTATCTGGGGTCAGAGAACAGAACAGCCACAATATTAAACATAGAGCATAGGCAGTAGTAGCACATACCTTTAATCCTAGAATCCCAGAAGCAAAGATCTACCTGGATCTCTGTGTGTTCAAGGATATAGCCAAGCATGGTGACTCATGCCTTTAATCCCAGAAAGTGAGCCATTAATCCCAGGGAGTGATGCCAGAAAGCAGAAAGGTATATAAGGCGTGAAGACCAGAAACTAGAAGCTTTTGGCTGGTTAAGCTTTTAGGCTTTGAACAGCACAGTTCAGCTGAAATCCATTTGGATAAGGACTCAGAGGCTTCCAGTCTGAGGAAACAGGATCAGCTGAGGAACTGGTGAGGTGAGATAGCTGTGGCTTGTTCTGCTTCTATGATCCTTCAGCATTCACCCCCAAAACTGGCCTCAGGTTTGATCTAATTAATAAGAACTTTTAAAATTCCTGCTACAGATATCTCCATAAAGCCCATAACTTCTAATAAATGTGTAATTACAGAATCAGCCTTTTCAAAACTTAAAGCAGTTGTCCATTGAAATCCTGAATATGTACCTATTTGATTATAAAAAGAACAAGTAGGATATTCCCTTACAATTTCCTTTGCTTGTTGCCAAGTGATGGAAAAAATTCTTTCTTTAATCCTTTGTTATTAACATGATATTTCTTATGAATCTCTGAGGCTTATAGCTCATTTCCTATTAATAGCCAATCAATTTCATCATTGCCTTGTGCCAGAGGGCCTGGTAAACCCATATGGCATCTGATATGTGTTATATACAATGGATGGTTTCTATTTCTGATTACTTGCTGTAATGGAATAAATAATAAAGTTAATTCTGAATCATCTGGAATAAGTTCAGTAGTTTCAATATGTAAAACAATTCTTTCTGCATGTTGAGAGTCAGTAACTTAAGAGGTTCTAGAAAATCTAATAATATTATGAGAATAGCATATAATTCTGGTTTTTTTAATTTAATAAGGGTTTTAGCCACTTCTATTTTTTCCTGATTTATAACCTGACTTTGCTGATTTATTTGCATCAGAATAGAATGTAGGGGCTCCAGAAATTGGTGTTCCTTTTATTATGTGAGGGAAAATCCAATTGGTTCATTTTATAAACTGACGTCTCTTGCTTTTGGAATATTGCTAATATGTCCCAGGAAACTATTGGAAGCTCTTTGCCAATGTTCATTCTGTGGATCCAAACAATCCACATGTGCATCTTATAATTTCTTTTCTACCAGGGCCAATTCTCTCCCAGGTTCAGCTGATAATTTTCCTGGACTATTTACACCTTTATCACCTTATACATGATTTTAAATAAATCACTGAGCTTTTGAATAGTTAATCCAATTAATATCTCCAGCTAATATCTCCCAGTAATTTTTTAAAATCATTGAGTTTGTAATTGATCTCTCCTGATATATACATTCTGTTGTCCAATTTTCTGTGAAGCTATTTCATATACTAAATAATTAATAAAATCTCCTCTTTCTATTTTTTAGCAGTTTGTAGGCCCCAACAAGGGAAAATTTTCATTACTTCATCAATCACTTTTTTCTAAGGTATCTGGGTATGAATCTGTCAAAAAGATATTGTGCATAAAAATGGTAAATTATAGACTGAGCACATTGTTTATGGATTATTTCTAATGGTGGTTATCAAAATATTAACACAAGGTGGGGCTGTGTAACATTCCTTGTGGAAGAACTTTCCAATGGTACCTGTTTAACAAGCTGGGACTTATTAAAAGTAGGCACTGTGAAGGCAAATTTTTCTCTATTCTGTTCTTGTAAAGGTTTAGTAAAAAAAAAAAAGCAGTCTTTTAAATCAATCACTATAATAGGCCATTTAGGTAATAAAAAAGGCAAGGGAATTCTAGGATGTAAAGAACCCATTGGCTGAATCACAATATTTATAGATCTCAGATCTGTTACCATTCTTCATTTTCCAGATTTCTTTTTAATGACAAATATAGAAGAATTCTAAGGACTGGTTAATTTTTTAATATGTTGAGCATTTAGCTACTCCTGTACATCTGTTTTAGGACCTATAATTTTTCTAATGTCAAAGGCCATTGTTTTATCCACACAGGTTTGTCAATGAATCATTTTAAAGGTAGGGCTGTTATTACATTTGAAAGACCAACAGCTGTTGTGCCCTGCTTACATACAACCTGAACAGTATATGACTCTTCTTGATAATACTTTTAAACATTTTTCTCAGAAGTATTCTTTATTTTATGGTTTATTTCCAAGACTGGGGGAATGTTAATCTGTGTTTTTAATTGCTACAACAAATCATATCCCCATAAATTCATTGCTATGTCAGCCACATATGACTTTAATTTTCCCATTAGTCCCTCTGGCCCTAAACACTCAACCCATCTTGTACTTTGTTTTACCAGAGATACAGTCTCTCTCTCTCTCTCTTTTTTATTTATTGATTTCTTGTACAAATAACATCATGCATCCCAATCCAGCCTGTCTCCCTGTCACTCTGTATCTGCCTTCCACCCTTGCTACCTCCCCCCCAAGCAAAACAAAATTTAAAAGGAAAATTAAAAAAAAACACATAAAACAATAAACCAAACAAAACAAACAAAAGCAAAAAACAAAACACAAAACAAAACAGAAAAGCAAGCAAACAAAACAAAAACAAAACTCAACTAAAAAAGGAAGGAGAGAACCATATCGTGGTACATACATTCTGCAGTAGGATCTGTTGCATCACACAGTTCACCATTTAGTCCTTTCATCCTTACTTTCGAGTGTTCATTGCTGTGAGTCACTGCTCTGGTTCAAGGCCTCTGGCTCCTGCTAGCGATAATGGGCTCTCCCTGGGACTCCTCTTGGATCTGTTGTTGTTCTACTGTGTTGTGGGGTTCCTGCAGTTTGGGGATTTTTAGGTTTGTCCATGGATGCCCAGGGTCTGGGGCACAACCTATGGCCATGTTGGTGTCTGAGGACTGAACCACAGCCAGGGACATGCTGAGTTGAGTGGCTGGCACTTTCATCACCTGAGGCCATTATGTTGTCTCAGCTAGAGCTGCTGCTGAGGGCTATGTATGGGTCTGTGGCCCTATAGCAGCCAGGGTCTGGGTTGATGTTCATGGCTCCTGATACCATTGAAGGTCATGGCAATACCAGAGTTCTGGGTAGCCACGTGGGGCCACATTGGTGTCCAGGGGTCATGCTGCTGCAGGGGTCATGCTGAACCAGGTGACATGTGCTGCCACCTGAGGTCATGGTGACATCTGAGCCTGGGCTGTGTCCTAGGACCATGTCTGGTTCCCTGGCCCTGCCACAGTCAGGGTCTGTGTTGATGCTTATGGCCCATATTACCACTGGAGGCGACAGAAATGCCAGGGGTCTAGGTTACAATTGCAAGCCTTTGTAAGGCTTGTTTCTTATCAGTCAAATTTTCATGTTTGGTACAGTTATCAAATCACTCTTTAAGGATAAAATAAGAATTAATAAACTGATAGTAATTGCAGCCGGCATTATGTCAATCCCAGATAAGTCTGTTATCCCTTCCTTTACTTTTTCCATTTTCACACCATCCATAGTAGCACTATATAAAGTCTCAACTCCTTGCATTATGATATTTCCCACTCTCAACACAGGAAACATTTTCCTCTTTAATATTATTTAATTCTCTCCTTAAGAATTTCCCAGATGTCTCACCAAACCTGGTGACTTTTCAATTTGCAGCAGTGATATCAGCTGCAAGCTCAGGGTCCCTTCACCAACTCCTGAGTGTGAGCCCACCCTCTGGAGACCCTGGGAGGAGTCCCTGTAAGTGGCATTGGCAGCTGGAGCAGAACCTCAGGAGAGCAGCTGCCAACTGCAATGGTGATGACTGGCATGGCTTCTTGGTTCATGTGGTCATGCCCAACACTGGGCAGCAGATGTTGATTTTCCATTAGCTTAATGGTTGCACCTGAATTTACTGATATATTAACTACCACCTGTGGTCCTGTTGGCCCTGCAGTCAACATCCTGTCATTCAGTCCTGAGCCTGGCAGGGCTTCTGATGCCACCATCACTGGCTCTGCTGCTGCCGCCACCACATGTAATTTTTAATTAAGTCTCTATCTTTCTGTTTACCAATAAAGACACAGGAGTCAGATGCTGGGGTGAAAACCTGCTAGCTCAGCGAGACAGAGAAGCAACCAGCTGACCTTCTTTTTCATCTGAAGACCCAGCAAAAGAAGTGTCTCTCCAAATGTCCAAAACCAAACAGACAATGAAATTCCAAGTCCCTCCCTTCTCCTTCCTGTGTGTCTCACTATCCATCTTCCTGCCTCCTCTGTAGTCTCTATGACTGATGCCTGTCAACTAGTTGTAGTTCTGAACTCTGATCCAAGGTTGATTTTATTAACACAGTCTCAGGTTTCACAGTGCAATCAAATATCCTACCACAAATAATGGTTCTAATATATGTTTATATTTATGAAATAAGTCCCACTTATCTGTATGTATGGTTCTATTTTATTTTCTAGTATGTTTAATTTTTTACATCAAGGTTAACATATAAGACTGAACTACAACTTTCTCTAGAATATTTTTAAAGTTCTGATTATCAATACAATCATATTTTAAAAATAAATTTTTGAATGTTTCATTCTGCCATATATAGAACGATACAACCCACCAAACAGGAATTTTTCTAGGACTTAAGAGTTAAGAATTCCTTACAGCTGACATTATTTATTCGATGTTTGCTCTTAATTTTCATTACTTTATACTTAAATGTTGTTGTATTTCATTAGTCTCACTTCAATAAGTTATATTTATCAATTTACCAAAAAGAGATTACTAATTCTCTTCAAACAGGCTTTTGAAACAGTTTAAAATTTCTTTCCTTAGCTTGGCTCTTTTACCCCAATAATTTTCTTACATTGATTACTACACATAATTTTTATTGAGTATACTAGTCAACTGTTTATGTTTTATTATTATGAATTACAAATTATGATTTAATTTGAACAACAATTATTATCTGATATTCCCAACATGCTGTCTTTTCATTTTATTCTTTGAATTTCTTTGTCCTACCATGTTTTCCCAGTTTTACATAGTTGAAACGCACTTCAACAACTTTCCCTAAATCTTTTGTTTTTTATTGAAGTGTATGTTCTTTGTAGTTCCCAGAGCTACATAAACTGAGTTACAGAAAAGAATGTTACTATTTTTATACAGTTTAGTTTTTGTGACATAAATTTACATGATGAATTTTTCTCTTTTTACCTGGAAATAAGTCTAAGAACTTGGTGATGTAGTATTTTCAAATTCAGTGTTTTGAAATAATTTTAAGTGTTATACCGATATTTGCCTAAACTTTATTAGTGTTTTATAATTTTTAGATAGAAAATTACTCTGTATTTTCTAATGACTCAGAATTACTTCATTGTTTTTTTTTTCATTTTATGCCACTATTGTCTTCATTGATTCTGTGTGAAGTATTACTTTGTGACTTTTAAGTAATTCATTTTACTGAAGATTATGTATACTATATTTGGAGATGTGAAATATCACATAAGTTGTGTGTGGGAGTGTGTGTGTTTATATAGAGAGAGATATATAAGATACATCATGGGATATATGGCATTGTTTTCACCATTCTGTATTGGTCTTGTCCTAATCATATTTAGATAGCAATCATTTTAAAGAATAGGTTAAGAAAGCTTTCAGCCTAATGGTAACCCACTCACTGCTTTTTTGTCTGATTTTTGAATATTTTACTGAAAGCTATAATTTGCTTTTTGAACTCATGACTTTTGTCAAATCTATTTTTGCTTTATTCATTATTTACTTTATTGTTTGTCATGATTCTGCCTTTGTTGGATTTATTTCTCACATTCGTCTCATTTTGTTCCATTCTATTTTGTTTGGCTTTATTTGGGTCACTTGTGTTAAGCAGATTTTCATTTTAGATGACATATTTGGTATTTTTCCCACCAAGAGAATTGGTTATGTTTTTGCAAAAAGGGAGTGAGCTGATCACAGCTCCAAATAATCATGAAAAATTATATTTGCTTCAGGTATATGTTAAATTTCTTTTAATGGCTGTAGTATATCCATCATTTTTATCTTTATATATATTTTAATTCCCACAATCTGCTTTCTGCTTTTTCTTACAGTGAACAACCACTGTTTTCTATTTGCTTGAAAAGATCATTGTCCTGGATCAGACTTCCTATACAGATATGGTAAACATTACAGGAACTGACAGGCTGTACCATACTGGACATGCACACAAGATTCAGGTTCTTGTTTTGAATTACTGAAAAGCTTTCTGTAACATACATAAGTCTTATATAATAGTACAATACTGTCCATGTTTCAGTTTATTTAACTATGAATACTATGGAATAAACAAGAGTACACACATCCAGATCCAGCTACTTCCTAAGGCCTTGAACCAATTCTAAGATTTGAGCTTCACCCACTGGCACCACAGGGACTCTCAAGCTATTTTCCCATTCTCTTGGTCTAATTCTTTGAGAGTTTTATCATGAGACATGTGAGCCATTCAGTGAGCTCAGCTATGTTAGCCGAATATACTCAGGAAGAAGGATGGCTGAGAACCACCTATGTACTGTACCACAGGCATTGTATGAGACTGAAAGTCATCATTCTCTAAAGCAGCCTACAGGTTTATAACCTAGCTATCATTGTGGAAGGTTTGGAGTCATGAATTAATGACTGGAATGTAAAACTACTGTGGCAATTAAAACTGACTGACTACCTGATGGGATTGAGGAGCCCTTAGATTATTAAGGCACACCTGCAAGGGCATCTATGGGAGTGTTTATAAAGAGGACTGATAAGGAGGAAAGACCAACCCTCAAGGGTGGTAGCTCCACTACCTATCAACCTCCCGCTAACATCATGAAGAATAAAACCTTGGAAATTTAACAGAATAATCCTTTCTGGACTTGGTCAAGGTAGGAATTTTGTCACGATGTTCTGAAGTCTGAGCAAGACAGCACTGAACATTACTTCACTCTATTATATTAATAGGTATCAGCCCCATTTTAATGAAACATTTAAAAATGGGAACACATATGACTAATAATCTACTGTTATCTGGGATGGCCTTACTGACAAATCTTTCACATACCTAATTCATGCCATTATTTTCTACTTTCCATAATATAAGATACTTGTTAGAACATTTTAAAATTTCTCTACAAAATGTTCATCAAGTACTTTCTAATACTGAGAAATAGTACCAAGCCATGTGACAAAGCATAGATAAGAAATATGGGTTAATTTAAGTTAATTTAAGAGTTGGCTAGTAACAAGCCTGAGCTATGGGTCATGCATTTGTAGTTAATAATAAGCCTCTGCATTGGTTATTTGGGAACTAGCAGATGGGATAGAAACTTCCATTTACATCACCTGTGTTGCCTAACAATAAATTCTAATTTCACAGAAATGTCAAAGGGACATAGATATTACACACTAATGATGTTTGGTGAATATTTTAAAGAAATCTCAAGATTATAGATATCTTTTTTCTTACATTTTATTGGAACTATTTTGGCCTGATATACCACTGTATATAATATTCTCCATCACTTAGTAACTACTTTGGCACTGTGGTGTTCACATTCATAACTGGCAAAGTGTTTGAGACCATAGCTGAACATGTCATGAGACAGAAACTGAAAAAAAAATTAACTTAGATTAGGTAACAACCATGAAATTCATCATCTATGTTAGGTAACATCATTCCTGAATGTTAAAAGTAAATACAAAATAAATGTGGACATAAAATAGCAGTCTATAAAAATCACATGAAAGGTGTGCCATAGAAAGTGCAGCACAGATTACAAAATATCTGGGTTAGGAATCTAAGAAAGAGAATTCTAAAATGCAGTCTAACATAGCATTCATGGGGATGCTGGAGATGTGGGCTCAGAATTCTTCCAGCTAAAAAGTACACAGAAAGCAAAATGCCATTCTATGACCCCACTCACAGCACCCAGGGCTGGCATTGGGTTAGAGCTGAAAATGCCACAGGATCACAGATGCTTTTTTGATATTGTCCCCAAGTGGGGTCATAACAGCTCCAGTCAAGCATGGCCGTGTACTTTGATCTTTGTTGTAAGTGTGGATGACTTACTTTTGTTGACACAAATCAGTTAGATCTCTCAAAAGCCAAGAAAGCTGATAGTTCCTGAGAAAGATGATTTCAGCCAAGAAATTCATTCTTCCTTCACAGTGAGTCAAAATGCGCTCACAGACAGGAACTCAATTTTGTAATGCCCTTTTGTGGATTGTCACATTCAAGAGAGTGGCTTTTGTTATGCTGAACATGTGTTACATGTAGAAAGGAGCTGTGAAAATATCTTGCTAAGATAAAAGTTTGGAAATTTAGTAATAACCTAAATGTCCTATCATAGTATTTATTCCTTGATATTATCAAGTATTAAGATGTTTTCAATCTTCAACCAGATCCAAAGTATCAGTTCAGTGGGCAGGTTTCCAAGCTATTTAAATGAAGAAGTTAACTTCACAGTGTGTCTGTGATATCACTTTTGGTGGTTTGCCACTTATCTTTCTTCAGATATCTTTGTCACCATAAATCTTTCAAGACACATAAACTCACTTTTTAAAGTATCTCTGTAAAGCATGAGATATAAGTCAGTTGGGAAAGTACTAATTTAGCGTTCACAAAGCCCTAGGTTTGACCTCCTGGTCCTAGTCAACTGACTTTGTGGTACATACCTGTAACCCAGCACTGATGAGGTGGAGCCAGGGAAATGAGAAATTTGAGGATATTTTCAGCCTCCATAGAATGTTTTTGGCTAGCTAGGTACATTAGACACTAAGTAAATGAAAAATAGTGTAATCTGTATGTTTATATACATACAAACATACATAATACACATACATACAGTCCACACTGACACATAGGCACATGCACAAGCATGTATGTGTGTCTGTGTGGGCTCATGTGTGTATGTATCCATCTATAATCTACCTGTTTGTCACCTATAAGAATACCATCTATTGATCATCATATTCAAATATCTATCTATTTTTTTTCCTTTTCTTGTCTTCTATAAGAATCTAAGGCTAGAAGTCAGCCTGGTTGACAAGTCTTCCCAGTTTGAGATTTGCCTTCTGATCATGTTTTATAAGCCTATTTCCCCATCTGCAGTCCTAAATCTCAGTGCTGTACATGAATATTGTTCTCCAGCAGTTCTCAACCTGTGGGTCATGAGCCCTTTGAGGGGTCAGATGATCCCTTCACAGGGGTTGCATATCAGATATCCTGCAAATCAGATATTTGCATTATAATTCTCAACAGTAGCAAAATTACAGTTATGAAATAGCAATGAAATAAATTTATGGTTAGGAGTTCACCACAACATGAGGGCCCCAGCATTAGATTATTTGACCCAAGCATTGGGTATGTTGAGAACCACTGACCTACTGGAACATTTGACTGGAAGCAAAGGCCCCTATTCACCACAACAGTCTCAGCAAGAATGCGGGGTGGCCATCCTGGGAATAAGGCCTCTACCTACATCTCTCAGTTGGCATGACTAATTGCATGCTGTAAAGATGCAGTGTGCAGGAACTAGCATGGGAAGGTGGGAAGAATGGAAAACCCATTTTACAAAGGATTCAAAAAATCTCGATTCTAGAGTTAGGTAACCATATCCAGAGACTGCCTGGCTCTGCCGACTTGCAATTTTTACTTATTATACTAAAACTCCTATTTACATTTCTAATCAAAAGGAAACTTAGCTAGTCAAACTCATGATTATTGCAGGGTTTTAGTGAAGATTGAGCAACATTTAAAAAAAAAAAAAGAAAATCTTTAGCACATAAAATTGATCCTTAACAGAAAATGTACTACTCATAATTCAAATAGAAATGCATTGCCCTCAAATATCTAATCTAAATAAGAAAAAAATCATGAATTAGTATAACTTCTTTTAATAAGCTGTTGCAGAGTAAATAAGCCCATTATCTGGAATTGTATTTCTCAAATTAATAGAATTCTTTATGATATCATCATCTATTCTTGATAACTTTATAAAGAAATGAGATTTTTCATTGCCATGATAGAACACATTTGTTGCTTTCAAAGCCAGTATGGCACAGACTAGCTGCCGAACTGTGCTACCAGCTGAACATTTAGCCTACTTGGACCATAGCGCAGCTTTAGTCATTTCTTTATGCATCAATGGCAGTGTCTACAAAATCACTTCCTTCATCAGCTGATTTTGAGTAGAACATACCTTATTCATCATCCTCAGTTCAAGGCCTTTCCTTTAAAATGAATTTATAGTTTCATGAGTTAGAGAGGTTTGTAAACAGGTCCTTCCCTTCAGAGTATTTTTTTTAACTAAGGGAGTAAGTTTTTCCCAATGAAGAAAGTAAAGTTCCTCTTTATCAACTCCATATGCTTTGGTCCTTGCATACTCCTTGTCCACAAACTTAAACTTGCTCATGCAACTATCCTTAATGAACTACATTCTTTAAATGTGTTATCCCATGTGCTTTGCATGGCTCCAGGGATGGATCTGACTGGGGCAGCAAAGGAATAAAGACAACTCAAATACACACAGACACACACAGAAAAAAAAAAAAAGCTGGATGTGGATGGACACTCCAGCCCAGCTAGCTTAGTCGGTAGAGCATGAGACTCTTAATCTCAAGGTCGTGTCCCACGTTGGGCACCAGATATTGGTGAAATTATTATGGCCACTCCACGTAGTTAAAAGGAAGATTTATTTTGTGGGTAACTTACAAAAAAGGGAAAGGTAGGTTGTGGGGTCTGGGGAAGGTGTATCACAATCCAGTGGTGTTCTCTGGAGCTCTGCTAGGTCAACCTCCACCATTCAGGGTCCCGGAACAGAGAGCGCTGGCCCATCCAGGTCTCGGGTCTCCAGGTGCCTCCCTGGCCCTGCCTCGTAGGTGTGACAGTTGCCAGAGTCTCAATGGGGGTTGGAACTTCCAGATCCAAGCTGGAATGGCTACCCACTACAGGTGTGTTTGTCATATAAAGTTGAACACAGAGGTGGGTTATTGCAAGCAGCTCAACAAGGAGATGGGGTTATTACACACAGATTAAAAAAGGAAGAAGGGTTTTGAGCACCCAGCTGGATCAAACAGACAGGCTTAGCTAATCTTGGAAGGATCATTCTGTGTAAGGAAGCAGTCTTTAGACTGTAGAATCCTCGAAAAGAAAGCTATAGTGGACATATTCCCCACAAACTATTAACATCTGCACGCTAACCACAAGGAAAGGTTTTGTAGTTTTCCCATGGGTTAAAGGCTATGGCCCTTGACATGACCAGGCCTGTGTCAAATACACACATTCACTTTGTATTTCACTCACTCAGGACTTGCTACAATTTTACTTATTCCATCTCACAGTGGAACTGCATCGGAGAATTGAGAATTAGCCAAGCCATAGGCTGGATGCTATGCGGTCTTGACATTTTCACAGTTAATGTAATCTATCCATTACTTTTTTTTCCATTTAGCCTCATTCAATTTCTCAGTGCACATAATGCAGTCAG